ATGGGACAAGGGGAGGGGGAGACACTATGGGACAAGGGCAGGGGGGGACACTATGGGAGGGAAAGTGCACTATGGGACAATGGGAGGGGGGGACACTATGGGATCAGAACACTAATGGACAAGGGGAGGAGGGGTTAAAGAACACTATGGGACAGGGTAGGAGGGGTTAACAATCACTATGGGACAGGGTAGGAGGGGTTAACAATCACTATGGGACAGAGGAAAGGGGGGTTAAAGATCATTATGGGACAGGGGAGAAAAAAAAATATTCTGAACAAACTGTCCCATGGTAAGAAACACTATGGAACAGTTTGTTCAGAATATTTTTTTTTCTGTGTTTCCTCCTCTAAAAACTAGGTGCGTCTTATGGTGAGGTGCGTCTTATGGAGCGAAAAATACGGTATATATATATATATATATATATATATATATATATATACACACTCCTCTTTTATGTATATGTATATATAGTTCTTTTTATATGTATGTGTATATACACACTCTTTTTATTCTGTAGTTATATTAAGATGCCAATGAAAATAACCTAAGTGTAATCTATGTGTTATTATTACTATTATTATTACTGCTGTTTTAAATAAGACATATGGACTAGTTACCTTTGAGTAAGTGGATCAGCTCTGTGTTATATTTGCTCTTACATATATATATATATATATATATATATATATATATATATATATATATATCTTATGGGACTTTTTAAAAATAGACATTTAGAAGATTTACCCCTAATAAGTTTATGGGGAGCCTCTGAAATGATTGATGCATACCACGCCCATAGTATGGGCTTTAATAGGCAGGACCAGCTACATCAGGATTTGATCTGAGGAAGCCAATTGGGCGAAACGCGTCATCACGCCATCATGTGACTGGACGGAACTCCGAGTTTCAGGAAGGGAAACCTGCAGTGCAGAAAATCACCAAGGACTGGTAGATATTTCAATACAGCACTGGCTAAAGGTTATCAGACTTCTATATGGAAACGGGGAATGTGGATTTTATTTACTTTTAATAAAGGCTGTTTACTTTGAGAGCTGGTGTTCTGCCTACTTGTACCAACATTGAAGTCCTGGTCTGTGGATCAAAAGCTGGATCAGTTAGAGCAGGCTTTTACTGCTCTTTCTTTGTGAGTGATACTCCTATTTTTATATTGTTGGTTCTTATACTTATGTACAAACAATATTATACTATGTCTCTCCATTTTATATCTCTCTTTACATATGTTCTTATGTGATTTGGAGAATCAAAGGAGATATACACTTTCCTTGCAAGTTATTATTTGGATATTGAATTTTTCCACCATCATATTTGCAATTTTGCACTTATGTTACACTGAATGTGATTACATTGTACACACACTCTGTGTCTTTGCACAAATTATTGCACTATTTGCACTAATATTTAAAGGTACAGCGCACCTATTTTTGCTTTGGACTTTACTTAAAGTAGTGAATAAATTCACGTGCTTCTTTAATTTGCCGATGAATGAATCTCCAAAGAGTTGGCCATTCGCCAGAGGTCCCATTTCCTTCTTGCCGAGATCTAGGAGTTTGGAATCCATCTTTAGTAATGCAGCCTTGCGTCTCTCTACACATATGGCGACGTTTGTGTTGTCAAGCATGCAGATAGCTCGTTGTGCCCATTCTCGGATGTCGTGGGCATCTAGGGCAGTGCCTCTTATGAGGGCCATATCTGCAAAATATAAGATTTTGGCTAATGGACCGAGCATGTCCAGTAATTTATCTTGGGAGGCCTTTAGGCCCTTCTCAATGCCTTTACGTGGGTCGCAGCCGGCTCGTGACATGAATAAAACCACAGTGGTATCGAATTCTGGGGTGTGTGCAATTTTGTCTGGTAGTATGGGTCTTGGGCATTCGGCCCTTAGTCTTGCACGCACCTCCTTCTCCATTGGTTTTCTCAGCCAGAAATGGATGAATTGGGCCAGGTGTTCTGGCAGACCCCATTCTGACGACCTTGGGTGGCGGATCGTACGGGGGTCGAACATAGGCTTGCCTTGGGGGTCTAGGAAAGAGCCCTCCTCTGGCCTGTCTGCCGATATGCGGGACTTCCTTTGTCCGCAATGGGTGTCTTGGTCTTCGATCAGGTCAGACCCTGGGCCGTCCCGCGGCATGTCTTGCCAGTCATCTTCCTCCGATGGAAAGTCCTCTGCTCTCCATTCGTCCATAACCTCCAGTGAGGGTGGAGGGCTATGGTGCTCATCTTCGGAGGATGTCATCTGAGGGCTTGCAGGGCCTTTGGCGTTCTGTCTGGCGACTCCTCTTTAATGGGGCCTTGCCCTTTGCTTTTTGGGGGCCTGGGCCAGTGTCCTTCCAGTGTCGCTTAGATGTGGTGATCTCCCCTGCAGACCTGTCTGTGTCCCCTTTTGGGTTCTGGACCAGTAACTTGGCGATAGCCTTTTCCATTGAGGCTGCCACGGCCGTGTTAATCATCGACTGGAAGTCGGGTGGGGTTGGCTGTGATGATTTGCTCATTTTGTGGCAGTAGGTCTCTCTGTCTGTGAAAGACAGGATAGGTTCAGGTACAGAAGTACGTGAATAATAATAATAATAATAATACTGTGGGCTTCCACTTACGACCAGGGTTCACCCAGTGTACTCAATAGACACAATCACTATGTTGATAGATCTATACCTGTATATTATAGATATATATGTATCTATTTGGGCTAGGGAGGGGGTCACCCTCAGTGAGACCGGGATGAGCGGTCATATAATCGGGACTGAGTCTGTCCAGGGCGTGTAGCCTTTATTATGATTTGGGGGTCACCCAATAAATATAGTCCAGTGGAGCCTTAGCGAAGTAAGCTCTGCCTCCTTGGTGATTAGGAGGCACTTACGGGTCACCCCAGTCGTAGTGTGGAGGGTGCCTGCATCATGTATGTAAAATTTTATCCTGGGGGGGTCACCCCTGAATTGCTTATGCCACTGATTCAAGCGTAATACACAGCTGGGGGTCACCCAGCGTAGGGGGGTCACCCTTGTAATAGTAGTAATTGTGGTGAGTGTGGGGGTCACCCCATTATGAGGGGTCACCTCTGGTAAAGCACTCCATGGGAGTGTGATATTAATGTGTGTATATATATATATATATATATATATATATATATATATATATATATATATAGTCCCAGTAACCACTGTTCAGAGTAGTTTAATCTTTAGTGGCATGTATAACTGTAGTTTAGTGAATCATGGTATTGTTGTCTCACATAAAATCCCTTAAACTGAATGCAGCCTGTGATTTGTGAGAGTAAGAGATAAAACTAGACCGTGTGAATCACGGTCTGGTAGGAGGCAAAGATGGCCGACTTGGATCTCGCGGTCTGCGAGATCCAATGTGGCCGCAGTTCGTGCGCAAATCTGTGCGGCGCAGTTCTCGGTCGTGAGCTACGATCGCGGCCTGCCGGCCTGAAAACGGAGTCCCAGAGCTCTCACAACCCACTCAGCCCCCCAGGGAGAACAGCCCCTTCCTAGTTGAGAGGATCGCGATCGCGGTAAACTGCCGCGATCACGGAGGAAAGGTGGCAGAGAAACAGGATAGCTGTCAGAAGGGCAAATAGGATGGAGGGTTAGCGGAGCATGTAGTGAGAGCAGGGAAAGACAGTAACAAATTAGATGTCAGAAATACAATTTAAGCAATGTAAATTAATAAATTGGTGATTTTTGATAAAAGGATGAGTAAAGAAAAAATTACTCTGACCTGTGCCTTGGCTGGAGCAGCAAAGAAAGAGGAAATTAGATGCCTGTCAGGGACTTATATACAGGATGTGCCGGACTCTGATTGGGTAAAGCTTTTTTCTTTTGATTGATTGACTTGTGCTGCTGGAGGCATAAAGTAAAGAAAGTTTAAAAGTTTATGCAAAATAGGAAGCTTCCTGTCATGTAATAAAATTGATATATGTGCTGCAAAGTGTCCCTGGATTTTTGCAACTATGTAGAATGCCCTGTGGCTTTAAGGGGTTACAATGCCTGCAGGGTCACGCAGTAGACACCAAAACAACTACATTAAGCCGCTGCTGTTCTAGTTTCTATAGTGTTCCTTTAAGTTGTCTACTCTGGATTTAAATTTGAAATTCACTTTGAATTCTTACAAGTAAATATTCCTGTAGGAGTATTTTTTCCAAATACCAGCAGTGCTCTGGCCTGAATTCAGTTCAGTGACGGATCCAGAGCCTGATCTCAGGAGGGGCACTTGTAGATTATTTAAAGAAATAATCCAGACAAAATAACCACTACAGTGTAGTGGTTATTGTGCCAATAGTGCCGTGACCCCCTCGCAGAGTAAGCAGTCAAACCGTTTAAGAACAGTTTGACAACTTACCTGAGGTCTGCTGGGAAATGGGGCGGTAGTAGGGCATAGGAGCAGTGGCGTGTGTGAGTGGTGCAATGTGTAAGGGGTGCAGTGTGTGTGTGCGTGTGTGTGAGGGGGACAGTGTGTGTCAGGGATGCAGTGTATGTGTGGGACAGTATGTGTGTGTGTGTAACAGTTGCAGTGTGTGAGGATTGCAGAGTATGTGTGAGTGTGGGCAATGTGTGTGTATGGGGGCAGTGTGTGTGTATGGTGGGCAGTGTGTGTGTGTATGGAGCAGTGTATGTGTATGGGGGGCAGTGTATGTGTATGGGGGGCAGTGTATGTGTGTAGAGTGTGTGTGTGTGATAAGAATGGTAGGGGGGACTTTTTTTATAATATGTGCGTTTTTTTTTTATTTAATTAAAATAAATATACATTATATCCCTCCTCCCTTCTTACCTTTACTTGGAGGAGGGGGACATTTCTGGATTCCTGGTGGTCCGATGGGGCTTCCCTGGTGGCCCAATGGTGAGAGTGAACTGTAGCCCATAGCTCCAGGGCTAGAGTTCACGAGATTTGGAGTGTTGCCATGGTAACGCGGCAACGCTCCGTGCTCGCGAGAGAAGGACCCGGAGGAGCTGCAGGCTGAGCTCCCGGGTCCTCTCTCTCTCCCTTCCCTGCTGGCTACCTGCAATGTGCATGTGGACCGGGTCCATGAAGGCACATTGCAGGGCTGGCGCCTGCATGTGCTTGCAGGGGAGAGGGAGACCCTCGGTTTTCTTGGGGGGGCAATTGCCCCGTTGCCTCCCCCTGGATCCGCCACTGATTCAGTTTCACTTTTCAATTCACGGTGTAGTGAATACAAGCTTATACTAATTGTAGTGAATACAAGCTTATACTAAATAATGAACTGAAAACCAGTTTTCACGATTCTGAGCAGAATAGTCAAAATGGCACAGGTGCTGAATGAAATAATTTCACCAATTTAGCCATTTTAAAGGAACACTATTGTCACCTAAATTACTTTAGCTAAATAAAGCAGTTTTAGTGTATAGATCATTCCCCTGCAATTTCACTGCTCAATTCACTGTCATTTAGGAGTTAAATCACTTTGTTTCTGTTTATGCAGCCCTAGCCACACCTCCCCTGGCTATGATTGACAGAGCCTGCATGAAAAAAAACTGGTTTCACTTTCAAACAGATGTAATTTACCTTAAATAATTGTATCTCAATCTCTAAATTGAACTTTAATCACATACAGGAGGCTCTTGCAGGGTCTAGCAAGCTATTAACATAGCAGGGGATAAGAAAATCTTAATTAAACAGAACTTGCAATAAAGAAAGCCTGAATAGGGCTCTCTTTACAGGAAGTGTCTAGGAAGGCTGTGCAAGTCACATGCAGGGAGGTGTGACTAGGGTTCATAAACAAAGGGATTTAACTCCTGAATGGCAGAGACATGTTCTATACACCAAAACTGCTTCATTAAGTTAAAGATGTTCAGGTGACTATAGTGTCCCTTTAAACAATTTGGAATTCTGATATCAGACCACCATTTTGATAACAAATCTTCTATAACCGTATCCAGATCGGGTATCTGTAGTTGATATAAGAAGTTAGTCCTACCTGCTCAGGATGTAACCCCTTTATGAGAGGTAGTGTACCATTAATTTACTATGAAAGGGGTTAAAATAACCAAATGACTTGTGAAACAACAACAACAACAAAAAAGAAGTCTAATCTTATACCTGTTGCTTATCTGCAAATCGCATGACTCCCAGTCAGACAGTTAACCAGAAGAAGAGATACAGTAGCAGTTGGTTTGCAGAATATTCTGAACGTTCTAATTGAATGAGGCAGACTCGATACCTTTTTGCTGTGGGTGTACTCCTGCATGTAAAGCAGTACAATCCCCTTGTGGGTTACAGGTCTTTGTGGACATGCTCGGATGGATTCCACGCCTACTTCCAAGATCCACTTCTGCATTTCTATCAGGAAACTGTGGCACAACTTAGAACACCACTCATTACTGTTCCTGTAAAATTCCCGTCTGCTGCTTGCAAGTGCCTCTCAGGTAAAAGTCAGTTATTTTATTCCAAACTAAAGTTTGTTGTCATTACCTGTTCAGTCATTCTATTGGTAGCTCGTGTGCTGTTATTCCACTTGTCTGACCAGAGTCTGATTAATGAGAAAAGTTTTATGTATCTGTAATCACTAAGCAAGAGCAGTATTAGGTAGTCAAAGTGCTGTAACGTTAAAATTGGGCGTTGCACGTTAACTTTTGTTATACTATCACTCCTTTGATGTGCCCTACCTAATTAAAGAGTTGTAAAAATGTTTTAGCACTGCATGATCTTTTGGATTCATTGGGCTGTATAGAAGTTTCAATCTATGTTCTACACCCTTTTTGAATTGGAAGTGTGGTACACAGTCTTGTACTATATCATATTACTATATCAAAGCCCACATGTGATATTCCATCATATAGGCTCTGTATTACATTCCATCCTGTTTTATAGCACATTCAATATGTACCCTAAAATGACATTTTCAGACCATGTCACCTATTACCCTGTAAAACCAACCTTGAGGGGTAATTGTGCAGTAACATGTCTGCTAGATTAGCAAGAGAACTATATTATAGTTATAAATGTAAAAATATAACACTGGTAACTTGACTGTAACTGAAAACACTGAAATGTGGTTTACAAACTGATTTTATTGTGTGAATACAACTTGCTGTTTAATCTCATTAAAATAATCCAATGGAACTTTTTGTTATTGATGGGTGCAAATATACAGATACAGATATGAATGCTATATATACACCATGTTTTTTTTGAGAGCCTATCTTTTCTTCATACTACCGTGAAGTACATTAAATGTTATAGTAAATTAATTGACATACAATTAGATTTTCTACATGCAGTACGTGAGGTGTTAACTACAAAAAGTTAACATTTTTTACTTTCCTGATGGTTTTGTGTTGTGCACATGTGCAATTTTCTTATGTTATACATGGGTTACTCCACCCTTTTTATACATTGCTACTTTTTTTTTTTTTTAACTTACGGTAATTTCTGTAGTGCTTTAACCCCTTAAGGGCCAAACTTCTGAAATAAAAGGGAATCATGACATCACACATGTCATGTGTCCTTAAGGGGTTAAAATATTCCATCACTTTGCCCATGTTTATTCTTCTTTGAGATTTGCATATTTTTTCCCCCCCTCTTGATTTTACCACTGGATACATTCTCAAAATAAGCAGGCACGTGTGTGTTATTACTAGTAATAACCAAATTCACAATTTAAAGAATGCATTTTTAATTTTTGTTTTGTGAAAACTACTTTACTGTCAAAAACAGCAGTTTGAAAATCTGCCAGTGGCATAAAAATTTGTTGGAAACAAAAAGTGCATTTATACATTTTTTTTTTTTAAATAAATAGAACGCAACGAATTTGTGAACCAAAAAAAATAAAGAATGAAAGTTGAATGGGAAAAACAGGCACATTAAGGTAGAAACCAAAGAAAAAAAGTTACCCATGCTCTTTCTACATCCCTGTGTATTTTTAAGCAAATTGAGGTTTTTAGTTACCTCCAATGGCCATGAGAGGGTAAGCCCACCTGCCACATCAAGGCAGACCTCTTAGGTGGGTCCTAACTCTAACCATTCGCCTTGCTTCCTTCAGCTTCTGTCAAAAATATCTCTAATGAGACAGACAGGTGTATTTTTTATATACATTCCTACATGCTTATTAACCCTTAATAGGGAACACATGGGATGGGCAGCAGCATTGCAACAAAGCTGTGTGATACAAAAGTGACCATAGTACACGTCAGCCAAAATACATATAGTAAAAACCAAAGAGTAAAAGTTACCTGCGCTCTTTTCACATCCCTATGTATTTTTAAACAAATGGAGGTTTTTTGTTACCTCCAATGGCCATGAGAGGGTAAGCCCACCTGCCACATCAAGGCAGACCTCTTCGCCTTGCTTCCTTCAGCTTCTGTCAAAAATATCTCTAATGAGACAGACAGGGGTATTTTTTATATACATCCCTACATGCTTATTAACACTTAATAGGGAACACATGGGATGGGCAGCAGCATTGCAACCTAGCTGTGTGATACAAAAGTGAATACAAAGAAACTAGTCCTGCGCTCCAACTCCCATTACTCTTGGGCGGCAGCAATGACCATAGTACACATCAGTAAAAACCAAAGAAAAAAAAGTTACCTGCGCCCTTTCCACATCCCTATGTATTTTTAAACAAATGGAGATTTTTAGTTACCTCCAACGGCCATGGGATGTAAGCCCACCTGCCACATCAAGGCAGACCTCTTAGGTGGGTCCTAACTCTAACCATTTGCCTTGCTTCCTTGAGCTTCTGGCAAAAATATCTCTAATAAAAAAAAAATATGCTTATTAACCCTTAATAGGGAACACATGGGATGGGCAGCAGCATTGCAACCTAGCTGTGTGATACAAAAGTGAATACAAATACAAAGAAACTAGTCCTGCGCTCCAACTCCCAGTTTCTTTGTACAGTATGGTAGAATTTGGCGCAAATGAGGGAATAAATATATATATATATATTATAAAAGCACCAAAAAACTATGAAAGTGAATGGAACACTTTTCATTTGCACCCTACAATGAATTCTGCTTTTTATATGCTGACCAACAAGCATGGACGAGGATATGTGTCCAGTAAATATTGTGAATCTGACAAAGCTTTATTGAATGGACAGGATTGTAGATTGATGAGTTTGTTTACTATTTTCTAATTTGTGGGGTAATAGCTTCTTGATCCAAGGAGAGATCTGACCACCATTCTGGGGTCACAAAGGAGTTTTTTCTTAGTTTGCTGCACAATTTTCAGCAATGTAACTCAGAAATTTAGGCTAAAGTAGCTGGTTTGGAAAATTCTCTAACTGAGCTATGGGGTTGTAGCTTGACTATTTGGGGTTTAATTTAGCAATTTGATTCCCAGTTCACCACATTTTCCTGTTTAGTTAATGAATACTACAGAACCTGGGAATTCCCGTGGTTTCAAGGCAAATACAGCAAAGAGCTCTATACTTTAAACTAATTAAGTGATAACTGATCCTCCAAAATTCTATTTATCTAACTCAATTAACAGTTTCTTTAAAGGGGCACTCCAGCTTGCCCATCAGGTTTTTCTTTGGATACATAGAGTGACACATTAAAACACCAAGACCACTTCCTCTTAATGAAGTGGTTTTGGTGCATAGGCCCTGTTATTTTTTTCATAGAAATGGCAATGTTTTACATTTGTCACAGATTATGATTCTAGTGACTGCCAGAGTTACAGCCACTAGAGGCACTAACACACGATAGCTTTGAAAATCGAAGGTCTTCACGTTTGGTGTAGTCTTTCAAAGCATAATGATGCTGAGTGCTTCTCAATGAGTGCTTCTCATTAAGTGCTTCTCAATGAGCATGGCAATTCCTGTCAATTAACTGAGTTTTTGTGTTTTGCTGCACGTTTTTCAAATATTTTGTTGAAAAAAAACTAGGTTATGCGCCAAAAGGTGGTCTTTAAATATGTTAAGATGGCATAACACATCCTAACGATCTTGCCCTCCTCTTCCCCCAGTAGTGCTAACAGTGTTAGTAAGTTCACCAGCAGACAATCGCTGTGCTGCCGATTACGTGAAAGCGATAACTGCCTGTCACTGCGACCACTGATCCATAGTCCCATCCAATGAATTAAAACATTGGCTGAGACATTGTTCTCTGCGTCTCTCCTCAATTTGATCTGAGGTGAGAGAGGCAGAGAGATCATTGCTACAGTGACATCTGTTTTAAAATAAATAAAAGTAAAAATAAGGGCTGCGCTGAATAAAATTCTGTGTAAAACAGGTAGTCCAGATAAAATAAATGGATAAAAAGAGAAAGTCTTATCTCAAGACGTCTGTTGTGGTCGTATATAGTAATGATATTTGGTCCAGAAAACTTGTCCTTGTCGATATCCTCCTTATGGGTCCACTCGTATGTAAGAGATAAGGGATAAATAGAGAACCAAATAGTGTAGTATTTTCAACAGTGGAAGTGATAAAAAGTATAAAAATATAAAATGCAAACTCACATTTGCCAGAGCTGTGACCTGCTCTGGTATAGAAGGCGTACAGCGGTTTGATCCCCGCTTATGGGATATAGGTGGAGTATCCTTCGTCTGTTTGCTCCGTCCTTGGTGTGGTATGCACTCGGAATAAAAAAACAGCCAATAGTGTTCTCTGGATAAACGACTTAAGAATAAAATAAAAGAATAGAAATGGGTACTCACAAGATAGGAGCAGGTCAACTGCTCCTTGTATTTAGCGCTGGTGGTATGATCCCCACCTAGGATTACTAGGAGTCCAGGTACGATAAAAGGTTGCCAGGTAAAAGTGAATGTGTGTTAAAAGATAAGTGGTACGATAAAAATGACCAAATATACTTTAATATTAAAATTACACAATATAATAACCATAAACGCGTTTCGCCTATACGGCGTTATCAATATGGGTAAAGAACCTGATACCTGGCAGTGAAATCTTTAAATAGCATATACAATCATTTGAAAATGGTGCCAAAATGTCAGCAGCCAATCACAGTGAAGTTTAAAATTAGTATGATTAAAACAAGATCAAAATAAAATAAATACTATATATATATATATATATATATATATAAACAGACACTGAATAAACGTTAAAGTGTTTTTACATGTTAAAAATAACCAGTAGTGTACTTAAAATAAATGATTTTATGCGCTGTCATGTGACCGGCATAAAACCGATAGGGATTAGTGGGAAATGTAGTTTGACTACACTATTTGGTTCTCTATTTATCCCTTATCTCTTACATACGAGTGGACCCATAAGGAGGATATCGACAAGGACAATTTTTCTGGACCAAATATCATTACTATATACGACCACAACAGACGTCTTAAGATAAGACTTTCTCTTT